TTCTTCTAAACTGGAATAATCCACCCTGCAAGGCAGAAGAGTATCATGCCCACGTTACAGATAAGGAAACTGGGTTTCACAGAAATTAAATAACTAGACCAAGGTCACACGGCTAGCAAAGCAGAAGAAGTCAAATCCAAATTCAGTTCTGCCTGACTGCCTAGCCTGTGGTCTTTCCACTCGGCTGTGCTGCCCGCTTTACGGTCTAATTCAAAGACTCTGTGTAGCTGACTCTCTAATGAACGTTTATGGCTCTGCCTCTCTCCTGAGCTCAGAACTCGTACACCACTGGATGTCCCCAGGAGAATGCCCCACATCCCCTCCCCTCCACAAACTCAGCATATTTGTCATCCAAAGCTCCACCCTTCCCACGAAACTCAGCTCTCCTTTGAGGTGCCTCATTCTCTGTTGGAGCTGCTACTGTTGGTTGCCCAGGCTTTCAGAGCTTCTCACAGTTCTAGAGATCTTTCGTTCTTCCTTGATCTTATCATAAAGCCCAAGTTCCCAAACTTGTCTGCCAAGACCTTTTTAATGTCTGCCAAGATTTAACCCTTCCCTACCTAACATGTATCTCTCTCCCCATCTCCCTGGACACAGGTCAGGCCTTCTCTCCATTCCTCCAACTTGCCGTGGTCCTGCCTCAAAACTTTTGCATATGCTGTCCCTTCTGCCTGTGTCAATGTCCAGCCCCCACCCCCCGCCATAGGTAATTGCACTTATCCTTCCGAATTTAGCATGTCACTTGTTCAGGGACACGCTCCTAGATATCCAGTCTCAGTCTTCTTTGAGGCACCTCCCATAACTGCAATTAAGTGACTGGGTGTGCATCAAGTCACAAAGTGTCTTTCTGCCAGGCCGAGCACACAGAGAAGGCGAGGGCTGGTTCTGTCCCATTTAAGGTTGCATCCCCAGTGCCTCACACGTAGTGGCTGCTCGGTGGATACTTCCTCACCGCCTCTGACATCCAGGGAGTCAGCGGACTTTGTAGATTCCACCTCTGTCATGGCCGTTTTCCCCAGCAGTAGGTAAGCTCCACAAGGGCAGCGATTTTTTGTTTTATTCATTCTTGTTTCCCTAGCACTCAAGAATTCATTAAATGAGTATATTCACCACGTTCATTCCATTTCTAGTGCCCATTTCCTCCACATTTCAGAAAAACCCCAGTATGACTCCGCATTAGGCTTCTGTCGGAGGGCCCCCTCAGCCAGAGAGCTGAGGTCCTGGGCAGAGGAGCAGAGAGGAGGAGACAGGCCCCACTGCAGTGACCACCGCTTTTGAGTTTCCTCAGCAGGGGACTTGGCGTCTGTGCAGAAGTGTGGGACTGCCTCATCACCTCGTTGTATTCTAATTAACACCCTTTATAAAATATGGAATTCAAGATCTTCCAAATGGCTGTATTGTGGGTTTCTTGGGTAAGAGTTAGAGTCAAGTGGCAAGAAAATTTCTTGATAAAGCCCGAGAGAGAGAGAGAGAGAGAGAGAGAGAGAGAGAGAGAGCACGGCACAAGCAAGCAACTGCAGCACATCTACCTCTGCTAAGAAAAGCCATCAGTCTTAAACACCCCTTTGGCAGACGGAGGTTTCCAGACATCTTGGGCTCATTTATTCATTAATTAGCTTCCTACCATGAGTTATACATTGTGATAGGAATTCTAAGGAATACAACTATGAGTGATGCTCAGACTTCAAGTTCTGCAGATATCTGGATGATGGTTAAAATACTATAAATAAAAGCTTATCAAGAAATGACTACAGTGTTTTCTGGCTGTGCAGGAGAACCAACCTCATTTTCACTTTTCACAGTCTTCGTAAGCCTGGGCTGAGCGGGGTCTGGAAAAACATGCTGTCTGAAAAGGAGAAACAGAGCTACGCTTTTGGAAGGCCAACTTGGAGTGAAAGAGAAAAAGGAAGGGCATACCCAAATGAGCCTGCACAGTTCCTGCCCATAAGAGGCAGACAGGCTGGTGGGAACAACAGACAAGATATGTAAGGACTCAGTACAGAATGGCAAATGCTTCTACGGGTAGGGCCATAGAACCACACTGGAAGCAGTGTTTGTGATGGACACCATGTGAGCAAATCAGGAAGAGTTTCACTGAGGGGCTGATGTGAAGTCAGGTCCTCATGTCCAAGAATTCCTTGTTTAGGAATTTGTTGTCCACAATACGAATGAGTAACCAGCTATATCTAATATCTAGCGAAAAGTGGGGGTTGGGACAGTAAATCTCTCTGGGCCCTTTCCAGGACTGGCTCGGGGTTGAAGTGACAGTCCCAAGTGTGTGTGGGGGCGGGGGGGGGGGCAGGGGCATCCAGGCCTTTTCTCCAGTGGTGAGACCACCACCAACAACTAAAGCAATCGCAATAGTCAGGATGACTAACCCCTCATGGCCTTTACTACATACCCGGAGCTGCTGGGAGTGCTTTTCACATAGTCAACTCTCATAGGCAAAAACAGGTGGTGGCGTGGGGCCCAGATAGGGGTTCACACATTCAGGCATGGGCTTGCCTGGTTTGAAGCTCCCACTGGTGCCAGATGAAGAAGCACCCAGATTTTCTTCTCCACTTGCCCAGATGTGAGACACAGGGACAGAGGTAGGGATAAGGCTTAGAAAAAAGGAAGTATCAGAGGAAGGTCAGAGAAGACAGAGTGGGGTAGAAGGACATTGGGTTTGGAGACACACCGAAAGCACTGCTTGTTATTTGTATATCCTTGGTCAGTCACTCCTTTCCCCAACCTGTAAAACAGGAATAGAAAATGCTCACTTTGCAATGTTGTTTGGGGAATGGGGGATAAATATTTGCAAGATAACCTGGCTTAGGTAGTGCTCAATAAACGGGAATTCTTACAACAGCCATTTATGCTACCGGCTTGCACAAACAGACACAAACGTCACATGCAGTTAACTCTCCGTGCTCCCTGGAGACATGTCTCAATCATCTTTAAATACTCAGAGCCCAACTTAACCAAGGAAGGCCCATATCAACTGTCACTGAGTAGATGAAAGAGTAACACAGCACTGAGCACCAAGGTTGTCTTCCAGCAAAGGATCACGCAGTTTGGTCCACGTGGAAGAGAGGAAGATGGCAATCTGCCAGTGGCTCAAATGAGGAGTTGGCACAGCATAACTCATCCTGCCCTACCACAGGCTAACACGCCAGCCCTAGGCTGAAGAGCACGGCTCCGACTCTCAGCCAACTTTGTCCTTTGTGAGAGTGCCACCTAGCGAAAGCCCTGGGGCACTGCCGCCTACTTGGGACTACTGAAACAAGGTGTTACAGCCTTTTAAGCTTGGGAGCGAGATTGTGGTCCACGGGGCCTGTTCACTTCCATTCCACTGCCCATGCTGTCCCTTCCTCAACCTTGTCCAGATCCCGTGGGTCTGATAAGTGCCAAGGGTCAGCTATCGGCGACCCCTCATACATAACTGACCAGTGATCTAGCTATCACACGACCCCTTCAGGGCATTGCATCTTTGGGAGCAGGCAGAGCAAACATGACTCGCATCAGGGTCATTGCACAGATGAGGAAACTAAGGGAAGATGGTTAACACAAGGTCACACAACGAACTAGCCACAGGGCCGAGACAAGGATCCAAGACTCATGATTCCTTGGCTCCTTCCCCAACCACACGCCCCTCATTCACTGTGACGACGGAGCATGCCCACCTCCACGGGGGCAGGGACTTGGGGGCCCTGTGCCGAGGACCAGGGTGGGGGGCACAGGATTAAGGCGGCACCGCAGCGACGGCAGCTCCCACTGCCAACCGAGCAGCCAGCACGCGAGCCGCAACGGGGAGAGGTAGGGAAAGGGGCCCAGAACAGGAAACTCTGTCCCGCGCGGGTAGCCCCTGGGAGCTCGCAGCGCGGGGTCATGTGAAAGCGGAGAGCAGACGAGGCCCGTCGCACGCACGCAGGCGCCCGCCGTACGTAAACACGCACTGAGGCACCGACGTCCACGAAGCCAACTCCGGGTCACACGTGGCGAGTGGCAGTCGAGAACAAGGGGGCGGGAAAGAAGGAAAGAAGGAAAGATCACGTGAAGGAGGCCGGAGCGGAGAGGTCACGTGAAGGAGGCCGGAGGCGGGGCTGCGGAGTAGGAGGAGGAGAGGCGCGCGGCTTCCGGCGGCTGGGGGGGGTACGGCGAGCGGAGGGGGGACCCTGTCCCGGAGGTGGCGGCGGCGCCATCTTGGCGAAGGGGGGATCAGGAAGTGCGGACCGCGGCGGCGGCGGCGGCGGCGGCGGCGGCGCGGCGGCGGCGGCGGAGCCCGGAGCGGAGGCCGGAGGCTCCCGGCCCGCCGGCCCCGGAACGGAGCGGAGCGGAGGATGCAGCAGCCGCAGCCGCAGGGGCAGCAGCAGCCGGGGCCGGGGCAGCAGCTGGGGGGCCAGGGGGCGGCGCCGGGGGCCGGGGGCGGCCCAGGCGGGGGCTCGGGGCCGGGCCCCTGCCTGAGGCGGGAGCTGAAGCTGCTCGAGTCCATCTTCCACCGCGGCCACGAGCGCTTCCGCATTGCCAGCGCCTGCCTGGACGAGCTGAGCTGCGAGTTCCTGCTGGCTGGGGCTGGAGGGGCCGGGGCGGGGGCCGCGCCTGGACCGCATCTCCCCGCACGGGGGTCGGTGCCTGGGGATCCCGTCCGCATCCACTGCAACATCACGGTGAGGACCCCCTTGTGTGCGCCTCTCGGGGGACCCCTTGTCAGGGACTCGGGATCACCCCACAAGGCTTTTTGATCTCAGAAGACCTGGGAGGCCGAATCCCCTCTTGGGGCTCTCTCCTTTTCTCCAGGTTACATTTGTTTCTGCCTCTTGAGGTTCTGCCGAGCACCCGGAATCTCTACCAGATCCTTCATAGTGAGAGACACCCGACATATGGCGCCCCCACTACCCCTTCCCACTGACCCACCCACACCCCAAGGTTCACGATTTTGGGTGCTCCGCCACTTTACCTTGCCACCTCCGAATGCCCTTTTCTCTCCCCCCCCCCCCCCCCCCCCATCTCAAGGTTCAGGCCTCTGCACTGACCTCAGCTGGAACGACTTGGCTGGGAGCTCTGCACATTTCAGCGATGCCCCCTTCTCAGTAGTACCTTTAACTTAGGACGTTGCCACCTGTGGGATCCCTGCCCAGGCATCTTTCACGCAGCCCCTCTTTGCTCTCTGAATTTCACCAAGTGGTAGTTTGTACCCTGACTCCTCTTCCTTTCCTTTGCATCCCCTTTTATTCTGGTGTAACCTCTAACTCTCCTTTGCCCCAGCTGGTAGCAGATCTGCCACTCCCCTCCTGTCCCCTGTGGGTGTCCAGTTGTCCTAGGTTTGTTGCCTTTCCCGGTAATGGTAGTTGGTCATGTCTGAGGCTGTCCCATTCTAAACAGTAACAGTTCCTTTTCTCCTCAGTGAACATCGTTCCACCCTAGGCATGCCGGACTCAGAGACACTTACATGTCTCCCGTCCAGTCCACCCTTATATGTCCCTGAAGACAGTTGGCCTCTGGTAACCCAGGAAGATCTGATACTGCACGGTACAGCCCTTAGAGTGGCTGGTGCTAACTGCTGGGGTAGTGTTCACCTAGCTGGAGCACTGGTTCTGGAGCCAGAGGGCAGTCCTTAATCCAGGCAGGCAGACTGAAAACGGGAGTAGTCTGGGGAAACAGGCTTGAGAGTTGTGTAGTACTTTGGGGCCTGAATTCATTTTACCTGGTTCCTGTTTTCTGTCCCTTTCCTCCATCAAACCAGGTCAAGGTTTGTTGAGGCAGGCCTCAACTGGGATGGGGTGGCACCCCACCAAAACTCAGGTGTCCCACTTTTTCTCTTTCTTCCATCCCCACCCCACCACCTTTTTTCTTACTAAAGTAGAAAGTTAAGATTGGAGGACTAGGTGTGGCTTAGGCGACTTTGTTTTCCTTTAGCATTGAGGGTTAGAGCCCTGGCAGAGCTAAAGCCCCCAGTAAAGGTGGATATAGTTTCCTTGGCATATGTAGAAACCTCGGGAGTTAATTTTGTTCCTGAATGAAGTTTCTAATTCCTTAAGGGTAGGTTTGCCCCATTCTAGCTGCCCTTCCAGTTGCCAGAGGCCATCCACTATCTTTGTCTCTGAAAGGAAGTTAATTTAGAAGGTTCTCAGTTAGACTCTGTGGCCCCTGTAAAGGAAGCTTGGTCTGAACTGGTTCCCTCCGTTTAGGCAGAGGGGGAGTCTGGTCAGGCTGCATTTGGCACCATGGCTCAGGAATGCTGGGAATGTTAGCAGCGTAGGTTTCTTTCTTCCAGCCTGCCATGTGGAGCCCTACAGCCTACGCCTGGACGAAGAGGGTGGCAGGTTCCCGGGAGAGGTGGGAAGAACTGGCCTTTGAGGGGTCCTGTGGGGTGTGGAAATTCTTCCTGCTACCTTTTTACTTTTAGGTTCTGCAGATACAATCTAGTTTTTAATCCCTCCTTTCCTAGCTAAACCGAAAGTGATCTCTTTTTCACATCAGTGTGATTGTGGTGAGGTGATCTGTTCCTCTCCTCACAGTCTAGGATTTGTTGGAAAGCTGTTTGGTTAGATACTGACCTGCTGAGCTGGGCTTTTATGAACTGGGAGAAGAGCAGAGGGACTAGTTTTGGGGAGCAGAGGGAAAGCAAATGTAGCTTTTCCCACAGCTGCCCATCTTGACTGCTCTCCCTGCTCTTTTCCCATCAGGAGTCATACCCTGCTGTGCCCCCAATCTGGTCGGTGGAGTCTGATGACCCTAACTTGGCTGCTGTGTTGGAGAGGCTGGTGGACATAAAGAAAGGGAATACTCTGGTGAGGGGCCTGGGTGTTGAGGTGGGGCCTGTGTCTTGAAGACGACCTGTGAAAGGGGGTATATCTGGAAAGTGGACAGTACCATAGGCTGAATTTTGGAGGCAGACTTCTTAGGGGATTTGCTTACTGAAGTCAGAGAGACACCTGTACCCATCCCAGGACTAGCCCAGTAAACTCTCCCCACAGCTACACGGTCCATCAGGGTTAGGAAGCCAGGTATCAATTTGGGGTCTGAGCTAAGAGCTCGTTCATGTAGCTGTCCAGATTGGGGTGGGGTGGGAGTATTTGATGTTACTGTGGTCCCCTACCCCCAGCTACTACAGCATCTGAAGAGGATCATCTCTGATCTGTGCAAACTCTATAACCTCCCTCAACATCCAGATGTGGAGATGCTGGATCAGCCCTTGCCAGCAGAGCAGGTGAGCACCTGAGGAACTCTGGCCTGGTGCAGCTACCGCAGACAGCGCTCGTGTAGACTGAGACAAACCTGCAGTAGCTTCTCTGCACCCAACCCACTCCCAGCACACACACATTGTGACTCTTGGCCTCTCTGCAGGTGGGAATATAGCTTGAATGGGACCCTGATAGGAGCGCTTCCTATTGGAACTTAACTCGTGTGGGCAGTATCCCTCGTGTGGAGAGGAAGGGGCAGACTTTTACCAGTAGCAGTTGGAGACCATTGGGATCTCAGCCCCTTGTTAAAAACCAAGAATGTAATATCAGTCTAAAGACAATTGAGTAAAGGAGACTGATTCTTATGGAAATTAAACTGGGATTGGTGAGGTGGGTGACAGAAACAGTCATTTTGCTGCTTTTTTTCTTTGGCATACGGTAGGAGGAGAGAAATGGGCTGCTAGTGAAGTAATTCCCTGGGCTGTTGCGTCCACTCAGATGTGGCTGGTGGAAAGGCTGGCAGCATTATGGACAGGCACAGAGTGTCTAGACCTGGAGGCTCAGGAGTCAGTCAGAGGTTGCATTCTGGGAAGCCATTGAGGCTCTGATCTCCCACCTTTCCTTTCCCTACTGCAGTGCACGCAGGAAGACGTGTCTTCAGAAGATGAAGATGAAGAGATGCCTGAGGTAGGCTTGCCACCTGAGGTGGCAGTGGCAGGAAGCTCTTTCGGTCAGCAGCACTGAGCACCCACAGTACACGAGCTCCAGTCTAGAATGTGGGAGAGAAAAATGCCAAAAGAGTAAAGACAGATTTGTTGACTTGGAGGAATGGCAAGTGTGATAGAGGAGACAGGGCACCCACATCCAACCACTGAAGACAGTTAAGTGCAGATCTGCTTACACCAAACAGCAACAAAGTAACTTCAGATATCTACTATATAGTTGTCTTGAAGATTAAATAAGGCATTGCACATAAAATGTTTCATGCAGTATATAAGTGCCAGTTTATCTGATACATTGTCTAAAAAGATACTTTTATAGAGTGTAACATTACAATTAAAAACTTGAGTTTCAGAGCCAGACAGAATTTGATTCACATTTTAGCTCTGCTAAGAGATGTCTGACTTTGGATGAACCTCACTAGACCTCAGCTTCCTCACCTGTAAAATGGGGGCAGTGACAACATGATGGCATGGTGGTTATAAGAATCAACTGAGCTAGTGTGTATAGCACCTAGGACAGTACCCAGCATTCACTAGATGCTGGCCAGTGTAATACTAAGTCAGCATTACCATGTCCTGCTACAGTTAGGACATCGCTGATCACTTTGTGTCCTCGAATTGGATTAACATCCCAGGTTCTATAACTTTATTAAAGTCTTAAGACACATGAAGGACTTGCGATACATGAAACTTTCTCCTGTCAAACAGTAGAGCATCCTCTGTGCCATCCCTTCAGCATCTAACAGAGGGTTCGAATCCTGAATATGGGCTCTTCTCCCATGCACAGTGAACTGCTTACTCAATTAGAGCAGGGTGAATAGGGGGCTGGTTCTGTTCTTGACCTCTACCATCTCCCTTTCTGGACCTCCTTCCTCATTTCCCTCCTGGCATTGGGTGCCTCTGTGTGTCTTGCATTAGTTCATGCACGTAGGAGGGCATGAAGTGTCTGATGCGGTTTCTCCTTTAGACCTGGAGTCCTGAGAACCCCTGTGTACAACAGTCACCTGGTGAAACATGAGCCTTGAGTCATAGTGTCAGCGCAAAGTCATTCTAGGAATTAAGAGCTGCTGCTGCCAAGGGAGAGTTTTAGAAACGGTTAGAGCAGAGTCATTCTGGGAAATAAGAGGACTGAGTCCTCCCTGCTTGCTTTCCCTCGGTCCTTGAGTAGTTCTGCTGAGAAATGCGTGAGAGGGGAGATTGGCCTTGTCCTTGAGATCGTGGAGGGAACGGGGCTGGAAATTGTTGTAGAAACAGAAAGGGCGCTCTTTCCGCAGCCTCCTAGACAGAGCACTGTTCCTTAACTTGCAGCTCTAGACCAGGTAGGACTGGGAAGGTGGTGGCCCCTCTCCACAGCCTGTGTCGGTATCTTTTCTCCTATGTCCCACTCCATACCTCCCCCAGGACACAGAAGACCTAGATCACTATGAAATGAAAGAGGAAGAACCAGCTGAGGGTAAGAAATCTGAAGATGATGGCATCGGAAAAGAAAACTTGGCCATACTAGAGAAAATTAAAAAGAACCAGAGGCAAGATTACTTAAATGTACGTATCTTCTAGGGAGAGGCTGGGCCTGGGGGTTGGTGGGTACACCGTTGCATATCAGTTGTGGGAGCAGATTCCTTTTTGGGGTGTTATAGGTGTGCCTAATCCTTGCTTAAATCCTGAGCAAGCTGCTAGGTTGCCCCAGAGTATTTATACAGCACTTGACCATGAGCTGTTTCTGTCTTCCCTCCCTTGCAGGGGGCAGTGTCTGGCTCGGTGCAGGCCACTGACCGGCTGATGAAGGAGCTCAGGGATATATACCGATCACAGAGTTTCAAAGGTGGTGAGTTGACCTTAGGGAGGGGCCTGAACAGAAGCTTTTCATAAGGAAGGATATGATGGTGGCCAGGGCCCCAAGAGGTTTGGGGTACACAAATGGTTATGGACTTTCCAGGCCAGAATGGAGGGAGCTCCTGAAGCCAGTGACTTACTCGGACTGCATGTGAACCTGGAGCCTTTCACAGTTTTCCCTCTCAGCTTGGGAGAGGGATCCACAACCTGGACCATCCTAATAATACCTCTCTTCTTCCTGCCTTCCAGGAAACTATGCAGTCGAACTCGTGAATGACAGTCTGTATGATTGGAACGTGAAACTCCTCAAGTGAGTGGGGCCTCGGGCTGGGAAAGAGGTTGAGGCGTAGGATGTGTGGTGCCCCCATGCTGGGAGTCTCTGGGGCAGTCCCAGGAGCTTGTTGGGCAAGGGTGCCAGGACCCCATGGAGCAGTGCTTTGCCCCTCGGCTCTGAGCCAGGGGGAGGGGAAGCTGCCCTGAGGCTCCTGAGCGGGACCAGGAGTCCGAGCCCAGACTCACTATCCGCAGAGTTGACCAGGATAGCGCTTTGCACAACGATCTCCAGATCCTCAAAGAGAAAGAAGGCGCAGACTTCATCCTACTTAACTTCTCCTTTAAAGTAAGACTGTTTCCCTTCTGGCCCTTCCCTCCTCGGCCTGGACCTCTGCCTCCACCTCCCAGTCCTGTGGTGGATACTGGCCTCCCGTCCCTCACTGTTGCCTTTGTCTGTCTCGCAGGATAACTTTCCCTTCGACCCGCCATTTGTCAGGGTTGTGTCTCCAGTCCTCTCCGGAGGGTGAGTGGCGGAGGGCAGCTCCTACGACAGAGGGTGAGGAAGGGGCGTGGAGCTTTTGCCGGGCACAGCTGACTGACCTTTCTTCTGCAGGTATGTTCTGGGTGGAGGTGCCATCTGCATGGAACTTCTCACCAAACAGGTGAGCCTGTCTCTTGCTCTTGGCCAGGCCGGCATGGGCAGGGTTCAGCGGAGCTTTACCACACACCCCCTACCGGCTGGGCGATGGGCATAATGTGGCCCTTTCACTCTGCCAGCGGAGCCTGCACCCACTGACCTGGGCAAACAGGCATTGGCCGTTCTGGGAGGGAAGGGCAAGGCCCTTCCACAGAAGCAGTTCCTTGCTAGAGAACAAGGGTGAAGTTTCTGGGAACTCTCCTGATTCGTTCGCTTCGCTGCTCGTTCCCCAGGGCTGGAGCAGTGCCTACTCGATAGAGTCCGTGATCATGCAGATCAGTGCCACACTGGTGAAGGGAAAAGCACGAGTACAGTTTGGAGCCAACAAAGTAAGGAACTGGGGGCCCGGGGCTGCCGCCACTGGCCAGCCAGAGCCAGACACAGTTTGGGCCAGTAGCAGGCCAAGGCTTCCTTCTCTCTTGGGCCAAGAGGATAATCCCTTTGGGCTGATGGCATCGTATAAGTGGGCCTAGGACGTCCTCAGTGGGAACAGGAGCCATGGCCTGAGGGTCCTCCTGAGATTTTGGGGGGAGGTCACAGGTCTGGAAAGGGAAGGCTATGGGATTGCACCTAAAAGGGCCCTCCAGGTGAAAGGTCAGGGATGGGGACTCCTGGGACGGTGGGTGGGAGCCTGGAGAAGGTAAGGGACAGTAGGCCGCAGCTGGCCGTGACCTGATCTGTCGGCTTCCTCCCCAGTCTCAGTACAGTCTGACAAGAGCACAGCAGTCCTACAAGTCCTTGGTGCAGATCCACGAAAAAAACGGTGAGGCTGGAGCCAGGATTCAAGATTCGGACACTTGGAAGGCCTGAGGTTTTCACTTTCGGCTAAATAGCAAGAACCCTGTTTTGGTTTCTGAGCCTTTACCACCCATTAACACGACACCTGCCCCTGTTCTCCCAAGAAGGGCTGGAGGTGGCTATGTCCACAGCCTCTTCTCCCAGAAAAGCACCAGTGATCATTCCACGAGTGGATGTGGTGCTGCCCCCTTCCCAACCACCCTCTGAGAAAGCTCACCTCACTCTTCGGTCGTCGCAGGTTGGGCACGTTACTCTCCCCTTCCTTAGGGACCTCCAGGCGGGCAGTGTCTGAGCTTCCCACACCTCTCCCCACATGTTGGGAAGCCCTCCCGAGGCCCTTTCCACCTGTAGTCCTGGACGTGTCTTCCGTGATCAGGCCCGGGAGCAGGGACGTGAGCCTGCACCTCATGTTCTGTTGGGTTTCTTTGCAGGATGGTACACACCCCCAAAGGAAGATGGCTAACCCCGGAGTGCCGTTCCCTCCCTCCTTCCCCAGGCACCACTGGACCAATTACCTTTGAATGCTGTATTTGGATCTTACGCTGCCTCTGTGGTTCCCTCCCTCATTTTTCCTGGACGTAATAGCTCTGCCTATTGCAGGACAATGATGGCTATTCTAAACGCTATGGAAAAAACAAACAAACACAGAACTGTTTCAAGTACTCAAGACTGACTTACAGACCAACCAACCACCTGGCTGGAACCCTTGCTAGCAGGCGTTCTTATAAAAGAAACTTTCGAGCCTCCTTATATTGCTGGAAACTCAGCTGTGCTCCAGACTAGAGCCTCCTTACCTATGCTATGGATTTTTAATTTATTTTCTCTTATTTCATGTACACTGCTTTTTTTGGTTACAGTGTATGATGGATGTGTATGAAAAAATGTATCTTTGGGAAAACAATTACAGTTTGTTAATTTGAAGATGCTGGTCTTGACTCATCTTTATTTTTATTCCCACATCCCACCCCACCCCCATCCCCTGGACTACTTGGGTGGTGGGGGAGGGGTAGAGATGAGAGGCTGGACTTCACTGCTGGAGCCAGAGAAAGGTGGAGCTGAAGCACGTGCCCAGCACTCAGAGTTCTTCCGAAGGCCCCTGGAGTGACCAGCGTTTGTCCCCCATGGCATTCAGAGCCTGGCCTGCTGAACCACAGGGTAGTAGGCTGAAATGATGACCTTAATTCTTGGGACTATTTTTCTCTTTTAGTCACAGATGTTTTCATATTTCTAAGAAAAAGAAAATTGGGAAAGCGCTTAAGAGGCTGTTTTACAGAATTGCTTCTAAATGCATTGAGTGGAGACGGGGCCTGGTCTCGGTGCATCCACGGTCTCACCGGTCTAGCAACGCGCTGTGCGTGCCGTGATGACGGAGCTCATTGGTCCTCCGCCCTGACTGGGAAGGACTCCTAGGTAGCGCTGAAGGGTGTTCCTTGGTGGCTTCTCCGCTCACCCTCCTGTCTCCTGCTTTGCTTGGTCTCGTAAGAGCAGACAGGCGTAACTGAAGTTGTTTAGCTTGAGGAGTTGTGGATTCTTTCAGGCCACTGCTGTCAGGTGGGTCCTCTGGGAAGGTTAGCTGTAAGGGGTGGTTGTATATACCTGTGTCCTCACCCCAGGCTCTGGGAACCTCTGGGGAAGGGCAGCGTGAGCTGGAGAGTCTGCCGAGCTAGAACCGTCGGTGCTGTGTTGTCTGGACGCACTGTTTAAAACTCTGGGCATCAGGATGGCTGTGTGGGACACGTGCCACCTGCCTCCCCTGGTCAGGGAGCTTGCTTTGGGGTTGACATGCACTCTTAGGGACAGACTGCTTACAAACTGGATGATGACTGCAGTGACGAGAGGCAGGGATGGCTAAGTGAAGACGCTAGCCTCGGAGAGCCCAGACTTGAGATGGCCACCTGGGAACCTGCAGGATGTCAGGAGTCCCGGGCTGCTTTGCTTTAACATGGGTCATTCCCCCACCTTCTTTGAAGGGATTAATGTCTTGATGCTTCAGGTGGAGAGAGTTCAACAGTCCCCCTCAGTGCTGCTCCAACTCAACCCACACCCGCCTGACATGGGGTGCTACAAAACGCTAAGGTTTAGACACAGTGGGGACCCCAGAGGTGAAATCTGGTTTTCAAGGCCTCTGTGGCTTTCTTCTGAACTTACCACCAGCCTTGGCTGAAATGTAGATTGTGTTTTTAGTAATGTGTACTGTGAGCTGTCCTCTGTATAATGTATTTTGTAATGTATTTTTCTCATCTACCAAAGGATGAAACAAATAAAATTATTTAAATAGTTTGGCTTTAATCAGGTTTTTTAAAAGAAATAGTGGGGCCCACATTCCCCCGCCATGAAGGGCAGCACCAGCCCCGTCAGCTGTCTGCCGGCTCCCAGAGACTCCCCGCTGGTCACCTACTGTTCCCCTTTACGACCTTACGTGTCAAAGGTCTCCAGTGAAGTCACGAATCTTAGAAGAAGACTTTCTCCTAAGCAAGCAAGGAGACAGGAAACAACCTCCTTTAGGCCAGTACCCTACCCCTCCGATGTGAATGAATCCAGCCCCGGGCAGGGCTTCCCCAGGCCGCGGCCTGCACCAGCGCCGAGTGCACGCCGGAGGCACGGGCGCCAAGACACACGGCAGCTTCGCCTTGCTGCGGCCAGGGGAGCGGTGGCTGCTCAGGGTCAGCCACCCCACACTCGTGAGACATGCCAGCTGCATTCGCCGGGCGGTGGCCCACTGGGTGGACGCTCCCCACCGGATTCCACACGGAATGCCAGGGAAGTTCGGCAGTGGGCCGCTGCATTCTCCAGAATTTGTGAGGGCAATTTACCTCGTGCTCTGGGGGTGCGAAAAGGAGACAGAAAAGAAACACACGGCCCCTGATGCTTTCGGTGTAAGCTTCCTAAGTTTGATTCAAACGTCCGTGCTGAGTGGGGACTGAAGACACAGGACAAACTGAGACAGCTCACTTTTCTGAGAGCTGAGCCGACAGTACAGGCCAGTGGGCATCCAAGCCATCCTGGGCACTGGTGTGGCCTCTTTCACTCTCAAAGCCTCAAGAATGGACGGGGGAGCCCTGGCCGGGTGGCCCAGTTGGTTGGAGCCTCGCCCCACACACCAAAAGGTTGCAGGTTTGATCCCCACTTGGGGCACATGTGGGAGGCAACCAATGGATGTTTCTCTCACATCCATGTCTCTCCCTTACTTCCCTCTCTCTTTCTCTTCCTTTCCTCCCCCTCTCCCTCCCCTCTTCCCTTCCTTCCTCTGGTGATGACTTGAAAAAAAAAAAAGAATGGAAGGGGACAACCAGGCAGGAGAGGCAGAACATGGACAGAATGGGAAGGGGCTGATCCTAGCCACGTCATTCAACTTCTTTAAACTCTTCAAACTTCAAGATGTGCAAATGGAAGAGAAAGTCTCCATGGGAAGAACAGACCACCCCCAGCCGACCCACCCAAAACTTGGGATAATTTCCCTTTGTTTTGCTGAAGGCTAATGCCAGGTGACTCCACAGGTCCAGGCCTTGGCAGTGGCCTGTGCTTGAGACCCCGAGGATGGGAGGGTAGGACAAGGCTGAGTTAAATACAGGGGCAGTTACCTCCAAGTTCAAAGCACCAGTGATTTTCCCTTTGAGGATGCGATGGATCACCTGGTTTGAACTCAAAATGCCTGCAAAACAGAACACCACAACAGAACATCAGGCAGGAGGAGCAAGGGAGGGAAGTGAGCGGCTAGAGCTGTGGGAACCGGCTCTGGCTGCAGACCAGCTCCTAAGACAAGTCTCTGCTAGTTACTGCTAACTCCCTGCTGCCAGGATAAAATGAGATAAACGCCGGAGGGGGGAAGGGGAGGGCGCGGCAAGAGCACATAGAGGAGGTGACATTATTATTGGTGCTAGAACAATTACATGGGGCTGGCACTTCACATTCTCCAATGGGAAATTCCGGGGAACAAAAGCTGTTCACCAACTCTGCTCTGAGCAGTCACGCCGGAGAGACAGAGGTTAGCAGCAGAGGCCCGTTCACCACGATGAGTGGACATTCTTACACGCTGGCACAAGGCAGGGCAGGCGGCTGGTCAAAATGTCCTGCCGTCTGCCGAACTCTGGGACCGTTGGCATGCGTGGAACCGGCCATATGAAGAGTCACACCTCATTGCCGTCCCCAGTCATCTCCTGGCTGTGAGAGGTGAGGAGGTTCCTTTCTCCCTCTGAGCCCTACTTTCCTCATGCCCACAGAGAGGACTGCACACCCACCTGCCTGACCTCTTGGGGCCATCTCCAAGTCCACATGGGAGCCGAGCGAACCCGCATCTGGAGTCGGCACTCTGGCCTCTCTGGCGGGCTGGAAGCCGCTCTTTGGGGCAGGGGTAGCCTCTACTATGGGCTGCCCCCTAACACCCAAGCAGTCAGGTGCAGCCTGCCTCAAACTCCAGAGCCCTGGCTGTGGGCCTGTCACTCCGCAGGCTGGGCAGCAGGGCCCTCTTCATGCAATGACATAAGATGACCTGTGGGTGGCGCCCCTGACCAGGAGACATCATTCCTCTCAGCCTCATGGGCCTTGGGCCTGCAATTTGGGACTATTCGTGTCTGTGTGTCTATCTTCACCTCTGCTTCTCCTCCTGCTCTCCCAAAGCACTCTTTCATCCTTTCACAGTCCCCACCCCAATCTTGAGAAGGAGCAAAGTAAATAAGGGTCCCCTCCATTCATTCAGAGGGTGCGGAATCTGAGGCCCCAGCAAGTGTCCCCAACGCAGCCTCTGGACAGCACCCGGGCCCACAGAGCCCAGGTGTAAAAACTAATATTCCAGAGGCAGCTTTGTGAGGGGCAGATGCCAAAAACTGAGGTAAGATCAAACGAATGGGGGTGGAAGGGCACCCTGAGGGCCCTGGCTGCCCCACGCCACGCCCCACTAAGCTCCTAGAGTGGGCACAGCACCTTCCACCCTTGACCCTCAGGAGGAGGTTGGAGGACATCTCACCTTTCTCCAGAGTGAATGGCTGGGTCCAAAGTCGTCACTATCCAGGCTGCGCAGGGGCTCCAACCGGGATGGCAGCTGCCTGGCCAAAATCGATGACCTCGACCACAGCCTGGGTATCCGCCATGTCCACTACCCAGCACCTGGCCAGAGGGAGGGAGGGAAAGGAGGGCTGCTCCACCTGGCGTCGTGCACAGTGGTCCTGACAAAGAGGGCTTAAAGGCCCAGGCTGAGGGGAGCAGAGTGCTTCCTTTGCTTCTCTTCCTCAGACAGGTAAGTGATAATAATCGGAGATCTTGAGAGAGGAAGCAGCAGGAAAGAACCCAGAGTCCAAAGCAGGGACAGGAAAGGAGTGGCTCTGTCCACCGGCCCCTCCTACACCATCCATCCCTGCCTGGCACATACCTGTCCCAGGCCCACCCATAACTGCCCACGTGGTGCTCGGCCAGACGGTGCGTCCCGCGCTGCACGGCTGAACCACGCAGGCACGGCTGCTGCTCCTCAGCCTCGGCCAGGGTGCTGAGCAGCACCTGCACGTTCTGGTGCAGAGTCTACGAGTAGCATACGGGCCTCACTGCCTGCTCACATCACACAGCTGCCTCTGCAGACATCACCTGTTATGCCATCACCACTCATCCGCCCCAGGGGAGCCACAGGTATGAGGTGGGAGAGAGACCCGGTCACTCTCGAGTCCGCTGCTGACTGGTTCCAGGAAGGCTCTGTAAGAAGACACCAAAACCAAGAGTGCCACCAACAAGCCCGTACCTCCGTGATGTGCACGGCCCAAAAGAACAGGGCCTGAGGACAACACTGGTCACCAGCAGCTCTGCCTCGCTGCCGGTGGGTGGCCAGCCAGCTCCAGTCCTGGGAGCCTTCCCTCAGAAGCAGCACCAGGAAGGGTCCTCTGGGGGAAATGGGCACAGGGTGAACGAGAGAGCAGCCTGACCAACACTAGTCCTGGAGGACACAGGGTGGGTCCAGACGGGACAGTCACCCTGAGCAGGAGGAAGGTCAGGCCCGCCTCCTGGGGTGGGGGGGACCCAAGTGCATGACGCAGAACAAAGGCAGCACCACGCCAGGGGGGACGGGGTGCGTTTGGGAAGGGGCGTGCCAGAGAGAACAAAAACGCAGTGGGATGTCACAGAGACGGGCTGGAGCCCTCGCGGGCTGGTCCTGAGCCTGCTGGCCACTTCAGGAGCCTCTAGGTGATGCAGCTGTGGACCCTCCAAAACCAGGACGATCTCCCCTCCCTCGGTTAATAGCTGCCAAACTGCATTCTCCCGCTCCACCGACTTCATCACCCAAGTCCAACATATGGCCTGCAAGGCAAACCTGCTGCTTTGAATAAACAAACACCACTCATCCCACAGCACTTCAAGTCAGACAGAGTATCCTGGCATCCCTGACATTAAGAATCATGGCCACAGTGACAGCAAGAGACAAGGTAGACACGATGATCTCACTGCACCCAGGGTGGTGGACAGTCATAGGCCTTCACTGTCTGAAAATGGAAACAGCCCTGGCTTGTGTGTCTCAGTCAACTGAAGCATCACCTCGTAGACCAGAAGGCCACGGGTCTGACTCCTGGTCAGGGCATACGCCAGGGTTGTTCGGTCCTCGGTTGGGGTGCCTATGAGAGACAACCAATCGATGCTCTGTCTTGAATGGATGTTTCTCTCCTTCTCTCTTTCCCTCCCTCCCCCTTCCTAAAATCAACAAGCATGTCCTCCAGTGAGGATAGATAGATAAATAAATAAATACTGGAACAGATTTTCTTAGGTCACTGTGGGTCTGGTGCGGGAGTTCCTGAAACTTCATTCCCACCCCTGCCCCTCCCTAGGGACTGAATGATGCTCATAGTCACCATTGGCTCTGGTGCTCCTCATACCCATCAAATAACCTAAACTGCAGAGAAGGTAGTCCCGGCTTCTCCTGTCTCTTGGGAGTCACCAGACTCCTCGATCCTGAGACGTCCCTCCCGAATCTTTATCTACCACATGTGGATGTAGGACCCACCCATCCCACTGCTCTGTCCCTCCTAACAGTCAGATGTGGTTTCTTTAACTCCGTAGTTGTCAAACTTCCATTCAACTTGAATTCTGACAGTTCTGAGTGATGGTTGTTCTATAATTTCGTTGTGATTTTGAAGTGATTTTGTGCTATACATCACCTATAGGTACCATCTTTTGTGGTACCTATACATCACCTTATTTTAACTAGTACTTATTACCTGGAATTTTCTTATTTATTGGTTATTGTGTGTCTCTTTCCCCTAGAATATAAATATTATGATAACAAGAATTGCATTTGCCTTTTGACAATGACCTTGATGGCTGAAGTAGCCCCAGGGACTAGAATGATGCCTGGTGCATATTAAGCTCTCAGTAAACAGATGTTGAATGAATGGGTGGATGGGTGGATGGGTGGATAGATGGATGAAATGGATAGAATGAATAGAATGGAATGGAATAGATGGATGGGATGGATGGGATGGATGGAGGGTGGGGAGAGAGGAAGGCAAAAAGGAAGGAAGGAGAAATGACCTGGGGCGAACTATTAACTCTCTAAGGCTTGGTTTCCTCTTCTGTCACATGCATCACGTCTACACTGATGAGAAGATACACTTGGGCTAATTCCGTTTAGGGCATGACATGCAGTAGGTACTTCATAAATGGAAGCAAGCCCTGGCTGGTGTAGCTCAGTGGATTGAGCACAGGCCTGAGAACCAAATAAATGGAAGCAGCATGACAGTGGTTGAAGGTGCAGGTTGTGGAGTTGGACTGTCTGGGCTCCACTTCTGCTTCCAGAACTGATGGGCTCCTTCACTTCAGGCTGTTACCTGGTGCTCCTCTGCGGGCTGGGAGAGCAACAGCGCCTACTGCTGCTGTTCAGTGCGTTCATACAGAAAAGGGATGATGGAACCTGCAGAGTGAGCCCGCCACAGGGGCTCACGACTGCTGTCAGTCAGTGAGGCCCTCGTCAGATCTCCGCGTGAAGCCCTCTGTTCCACCTGTGCACCTACAACAAGCAAGTGGCAGTGCAGACAACTCTCTCTAGCCAAGCAAGAAGGTGACTTTTTATTTAAAATCTCGTAAGACACTTCTCTATACCAATTCCGAGAACCAATTATCAGCAGTGGTTTCGAGCTAAACATTACTAATACAGAAATATTTTAGACCATTTTTGGTCTAATTATTATTCCCCAGTGATTGAGATAAATATAACAAGCCTTTTTTGACTGTGAAATTAAGTTTCAGAAGAAAATTAACATAATTATCATCCAACCACCACAGCACGCATGTCACCCAAAACAAACCTCAAATTTCAGGCTGTGTGTGCTGCACAGAAGTGGCCACCTGGAAGCCGCAGACACCATCTGAGGCAGCGTCTCAATCTCTGCCAGACCAGACCATTTAAATTAAGCTCTATTGTTGCTATAAGCACAGTAACCCTCTGGGCATGATGATCATGCCCAGATCAATCACCAGCTATTAATGGTCTCTTTACTTTGTTCTTTACTTATAGTGCTCCCAATTCGTCAAATGTCCTTAAGAGGTTGCCAGATACAGAATGATGCTGGCAAGTCTGAGCAGTGGGAAAGAAAACAAAAGGACACACAAAGGTCAGTGGCCAGAAGGCTTTGGGTTGGTGGGGGGGGGTCCTCTGGTTCCCCTACACACCCCAGAGAGAAGTTCTCATTCTACCACTCAGCAGGGGTGCAGGCCTCATGTCTCACAAAGAACAGCACTAGCTACCCTGCCTGCAGCCTCCAAGTCTATTTACCCCCCACCCCTGGATGGCTGCTGTCACTCTGAGCCATTTCTCTCTGTCTCTTATTAAGATGTTACTATTTCTTTTTAGAGCAAGGGGAGAGGAGAAAGAGAGGGAGAGAAACATCAATGTGTGGTTGCCTCTCACATGCCCCCAACTGGGGACCTGGGCGGCAATCAAGGCATGTACCCTGACTGGGAATCAAACCAGCCACCCTTTGATTTTCCGGCTGGTACTCAATCCACTGAGCCATACCAGCCAAGGCTAAGCCATCTCTTTTTAAGGTCTCTGACCCTACATAGGGAACTGTACCTAGGGCCACCCAAAGGAAGCCTCTTGGTGGAAATGTAATAACATTTACAATTACATTAACCTTCAGTGGCTTTCCTCTCCTCCAGCTATATACTCTGTAGTTCTACTATGTCCCAGGCACTGAGTGACAAAGATGAAAGACACAAATCCTGTTCTCATGGAGTCCACATTTAGTCACTCCACAAATATTTATAAAGTATGTATGTTCCAAACATTGCCACTAGGAAGCTCACATTTTGGTAGCAGACAGTAATAATACAAAAAGGTAAAATACCGGGTGACTGACACTTCTGAACAAGATGGCGGCATAGGTAAACACAGCTCGCCTCCTCACTCAACCACATCAAAATTACAACTAAATTATAGAAAAGCCATCACTCAGAATCATCAGAAATTAAGTTGAATGGAAGTCTGACAACTACAGAATTAAAGAAACCACATCCATCCGGATTGGCAGGAGGGGTGGAGACACAGAATGGGCTCCCTGGTGGATAGAATTTGGGAGGAATATCTCAGGAGGAAGGAGTCCCAGCCCCACACCAAGCCCCCCAGCCCAGGGTTCCAATGCCAGGAAGGTAAGTCCCCATTACTTCTGGCTATAAAAACCAGTGGTGGTTGAGTTGGTGGGAGAAACTTCTGGAGTCCCTAGCAGTTCCTCTTAAAGAACTCACACATGGACTTACTCAGACTCGCCGGGTTAGCGTCTTAAAAGGCACCAGTGGCACACAGGGAAGAAGTGGAGTATCTGGCATGAAGGCAAGAGCTGTGGGACAGCTTTCTCCGAGACAGAAAGGCAAGCAGAGGCCATTGGCCCGTTTCTGAACTGTCCCCCAACAGAGCCACAGAGACCACAGGCAGGTGCCATATCTGAGACTCCATCAATCTGACTAACACTGTTTATAGAGAACCTATCTGTGTGGCATGGTGAATGTAGCCCAGCCTGATTCGAAAACCAGTGGTGGGCAAGTTGACACACAGGACCTGAGCCCATGGATGGGTTTTCCTGTGGGGAATCAGGCCTGCATTGTACCTAAGCTGCTTTGAGGCTTGCTTTTTACTAAAACTCCCTCACCCTGAATTGAGGCAGAAAATGTTTACTGCATATCTTTAAAGTAGCTTCCTAAATCTGTGCTAAACCTCCCAAGGATGGAGTGTAACCAGTTCATCCACTTTTTGCTTTGCATTTGCAAATATCCATTTTCTTTGTGGTAATTAGCAACTTCCTCTCCTTTGTTACCTGTAAAAGGTAACCACCTAAAGTGAACCTGTGCATAGTAAATGAGTACCATCCTCAATGTAATGTGCTCAGAAAAACAATAAAAACCTGTCCAGGCAGGGGTTGGGGCCCTTTCTCACTGAGAGAGTGACTGTGCAGTCCCCTTTTCTCCACAGGACTTCTACAATCCATGTGGATTTGTTCATTGCAGCCACAACACACATACCTGCTGGCCAGAGTCCACATCAACTGTTTGCCCTGCTCTGGGGATGCCCTGAGACTTCATTCCACCAAACTGACAGGACCCACCTAAGCTAGTTAAAAATCAAGTTAACAGTGATTTTTGCATATGATGGCTGGTCTGGGCTCATGCTTCAAAACTTCCTAAATCTATCAAACAGCAACAGCTGATCTCAGCCACCGCCACCCCCCACCGCCAAGCCCTTGTGCCTCTTGCTAAGTGGCTTAGGCCCAGCAATAGCAGCAGTCAACTTAGACTCACAACTTGGCTTCACCTGGTAATCTCTAAGCCCAGTACAAGTAGCAGCCATCTCAGATTGCTTTATAGCTCAGTCAGGGTGGCCCCAGGCAAAACACAGGTGGGGGCTGACCATGGCCTGCCCCACTCAAGAAACCCCAGGGCCAGTGCACCCAGTGGACAGCTACAGACCACGTCAGAGCACCACCACCCTGCCCCTGCACAGCTGATCCTCCTCAGAGGGCAGAGGTTGGTGGTCAGTGGTCACAGCCAATCCTTGAAGCTGACCGACCTGGGTAAATCCCTCCCATTGATCTGCCAACAGCAACCAAGGCTCCACTACAAAAGGAGAGTGTACTCATCCCACACTAAGGGTGCACCTGGAGTACCCAGCCTGGGTGAAAGGGAGGCTGTGCCCTGGGCTCTACAGGACACCTACTACATTAGGCCATTCTACCAAGACACCTAATTAAAGCATCTCTACCTAATAAATAGAAACAAACACAGGAAGGCTGCCAAAA